TAAAAATAAGCATCTGGACTTGGCAACACTGGCAAAGAGGATAAAATCTCCATATTAACCCTAACCGAAGAAAGACGTTACGCGTGGTCGAGTGCGAGAAAGAGCGTACATGGCCATGAGGAGGAGGAGGAAGAAGAAGAAGAAGAAGAAGAAGAAGATGATGATGATGATGATGATGATAATAATACACGTGGAGACCCTCGAACGCTTCGTATATCGTACACATCGCGGAACTGAGCGCATCGGAGGAAAGGGGATCCGGTCAGAATCTCCGTATTAAAGAAAGAAAGAAGACGCCATTTTTAATGTCGCTTTCTCTCGTAGATGGAATATGCTACGATGAATTAAAGTAATTAAGTCTACGACGTTTCTTCTGTTTGGGTCTAACCGCATTTATTGTAAGTACTACTCTCTTTTTAAATGAATCATTTTGTAATATTTTAAAGTAATTTGGGCGCCGTTGATTTATGTCGTGTCGTAAAGTCGTTGAAATAACGGAAAACGTCGAATTCCTAGTAAGATTCTAGCATTGAATGAGGCGTTACTAAATAAGGACACACGAGAAGTCGTTTTAATATAAAGAGGTAACTCCATGTTCATTTGTTGAGAATTAAAAACGTAATCGTATCGCCAAGTGTGAACGGATATGAGCAGCAACGTGTTTCCTACACAGTAGTCATGGCGTCGAAATGATGGTTGAGTGCAGCATTGCCAGATTTAAATTAAAAAAAAAAAGCCAAGTAAGGTAAAAAAAATTCCAGAAAAAAGTCAAAATTATATATTTTATATACATACTCTAATTATACTTGAATGCTATTTTATTGTATTAATGCTTTTTCCCCAAAAAGCATATCTTCATGATTAAGGGAAGAAATTGAATCGGGAATACAGTTTCTCGGAAGTAAAATACTCTAACATTTTATGTGAGTGGACAAATTCTTTGCAACATATATTTGAGAACAAAAGTTGTGAACTAATCCTAATAATTGCATCTGGAAGAGAAAGTTGCATTCTATTTCTTGCCTTATTCTTAAAATGAGTTAAAAGTGAAAACACCTTCTCTACTGTAGCATTGCTAATGGATGTTATTAGGGAATTGAGGGCATAAGTTGCAACTTCTTTGAATATGGGATTTCGTAATATTACCAAAAAAGCTTATTCTCATTGAGTATTCCACATTCTTTAAATTGATCTTCGTCCATCAAATTGACAAAAGGTAATTTTTTGTATTGCTCTTCAATCATATTGAATGTTTTGTGCTAAATTCAATAATGGCAATTCAGAAAACTTGGTCGTAAAGCTTGGTTTAAAATTATATTAGGGTTTCATTGCACTAGGTCTTGAAATAAATTCCTTGCCGATGGAAGCCTTTGTTGAACTTGATTTAAAGCTTCTTCTTCTAACATTTGTAAACACCTTTCTTTGATTGATAGAACTTGTTGCTTGATTTTTTTATCATTATTATTTATCTGCATGTATTTATCACATTCATTTAAAAATTTCATTCCAAAATTATTGTTAGAAATACTTCTCTTATAATTACCATCATAAAGTCTACTTTTTAAAGTGCAAAAATAAACTTTTATGAAACTGATAAGGCCTTAACACTCTTATAATTCAATGAAATAGTTGGTAATGCTTTATAATAGATACACCAACGTTTATCCTCTTAATTATATTTGCAATAGAGACATACATGCTAGGCATGTCCAAAACACATCGAATATATGATGGCAAACTAATTTAAAAAACGCTATAAACAAAAAATCGTAGGACTACTTACCGACTGTGTACCGCCATCGCTGAAGTTTGTTTTCATCGTGGAGCTGCACACTGCAGGGCGGATGCGCACACAGCGTGTCACGTGACTACAGCTCTGACGCGTTTCCGGACAACTTTTTTTCGTGGCGGAAGAATTCGTTCTGTTTGCACTATACCTCGCTGGCGTCACGTGATAGAGCAAAGACACCCTACGGTGCGCACGTTAATAGCGGTTGCTCTGGGCTGCTGTTTGTAGACATATGCGAACGACGGTGAAAAAAAGACGCTCGTAATATCGAGTATCGTGATGGCGGAATCTATAATTTTAAAATGTGCGTTTTTAGAGAGAAAATTTAAAAGATGGGTACCAATAGCATTCAAAATAGCTGAGAAAAAACTCGAGACGACACTTACACATATTGATGTGCGTTTTCGCAATTTGTAAATTTTCATTCATAAAACTACATAATGGACACAAAATCAGAACTATCTGAGCCATGGAGCACGCCACGTTGACTTCTACCGTAAACTACTACTGCAAACAGCGCGCACTTCCGCCAGAATGTAGAAACGGTTCAGAACTCACCATTATTCCTAACACGTGGTTACCTCTTGCGGCGACCCGTGTGGACAGCCCGCGGACCAGTTTGACAAACTTTGTTTAGTTACGCTTCCGTAACACCGTAACATTCTATAGCGAAATTTACCACTTGAGATCTGACAACGACGATTTATTTTTTGAGATTAACTTGTTAAAAAGAGAACAGAATCAAATTACTTTAAAATTCAGATTAAATGTTTATAACTATAAATTTATTATTTAAATTTATAAGCATATATGTTTTACATAGCGTAACTAATCCTTTTAATTTAAAAATGTAAAGTTATATAACAATAATTTATATGTAAGATGTGGGATCAATAGGCTACTACATAAAGACTTTTCTATTTGGAAATGTTTTACTTAAAAAACAATAGATGCAACACGTGTCAGAGCAATGTTCTCACACCTAGCTCTCTCTCTCCCCAATTCCAATACCACTCAGACCAATACTTTTGTGAATTAAAATAAAAGTAACGATAAGACGGATCATCTCCGGTCTGCGGATCACAGTTTCAGTACGTCCAGTTAGACTGCGAGCGGCTCTGTTATAATTTCTTTTATGAATCGCACAATTTTTATTTCTTATCAGACTTTTCAATTAAACACGCAAATATCTGCAGCTTTTAACACCAAATGGTATACAAAAATGATTCCATATTGAAAGAAATCGGAAGTAACGTAGTCGACAGAAAACTGCCAACCGGGATTATTTAAAGAACGAATAACATAACCTTTCTAGGAATAGGAAACGGAAATGTAACAACGTCGTATATAGTTTAGTTAAATGGCGCCATCAGTATCTGACGTTGTTATTTGTTGGTGGTTGTATTCTACTCAATCATTGATGATTTTAAGAAATGATTTTATTAAAAAATGCCTAAAGAGACGCTGGTGAGTTAGAAAGCTATTTCGAGAGCGTGATTTACGTGGATTTAATAATTCGTTGATTTCGGAACTACAATTTAACGATTGAGAATACTATATACAGTAAGGGAAATGTATTTTTTTACGTATCGTTTTTTGAGGTTATTTCAAAATAATAAATTTTAAAATCTTCAGATTTCTGAGAATGTCACCAGAATTATTCAAATATTTGCTGTCAAAAATAGAAATATAACTAAGAAAAATATACGATGGAGAGAAGCGATATCTGTTAGAGACAGGTTATCTGTAACATTACAGTTTGTCAATCTTTCATACTTTGTAAAATTAGTTAGGTCTTTAGTATACTTTTATCATAAAACATAATTTTTTAGATTTCTTGCTACGGGTGAGACATTTCGGAGCCTCAGTTTCTCATTTAGAATAGGACGATTGACAATTGTTAAAATAATCGAAGAAACTATGAAGGTACAAATTAAAAATGTTATTAAATTTGAATAGCAATTAACTTATAAATTGCTATTATTTTTATTATAGGTTATTTGGAACAATTTAAAGAATGATTATATGAAAATGCCAGATAATGAAAA